CAGCTGCGTCAGGAATATCAGCAAGGTTTTCCACCATGAGATGCACTGGGACTGAAAAGGACCGCTGGAGGAGCTCGAAGATGCGAGGGATTTCTAGGAAAAGTCGTCTTTGCTCCTTGCTACAAGACGAATCCAAAATTTTGACACGGACTGGCCCCGACCAAAAGCACGAAATCGAGACGATATCCAACCGATGACACCAGTTTTGTATAATGCTTTCATCGATTTGTGTAACTCTCCCGAGCTCCAGTACCCCCGGGAACCTTGTGCGCGAAAGTCGAAGTTGCACTGGGCCTGTGGCTGACAAAGCGTAACCCTGCACCGCGCAGGCCAAACGTGTCAACCCACACATGACAGCACTAACACCATCACACAGAGAAATGACCAATACTCTAGGTCCTTTGGGATTGTGGCGCTGCAAACTTCCTGAAACATTCAGCGTCATATAAGGGGCCGCGTCCAACCGCGCAAGCAATTCTTCCCCTGCGGAAGTAAGACCAGCAGAGACACACATGCCTCCACCCTCAGTTGATGCATCTGAGCAAGTCACCAGCCCTGACACTGGCGTGCGCAAATCCATAACAGCAAGACTTAAGAGACAGGCTGCAGTAAGGAGTTCATGCGCATGTGAATCGGGAACCTTCCTAGGACGGCACCACATGGACTTGGGCCAGCATTTGTTCAGGAGACCCATGAGCAGCCGACGAAACTCAAAACATCGGGTAAATCGGCCGAGCACAACCATCGTCATCCGAGGCGAAAGCGACGGCCGTGACAAACACCAGATCATGAGCCACCCTGTTTCCATCATTTTGTCCCGCGGGGCACACAGGAACCCGTTGACTCCATCAATTTCAGCCCCCATGCGGATAACGCAGGGTTCCCTAATATGCTCCTTTTTCTCAGAGATGTCAACACCGATTCTATCATAGGCAAGCCGTTGACGAGCCTGAGTGGGTGACATGGTGTTGGCCATTGCCTGCCACTTTTCTCGGGGCAATCAAAATCGTCAAAATAATACTGAAACCACGTCCCTTGTTCTTCCACTGCACCTTTCGGCACGGGCTTGTCCCGCCGCCACTCCCCGCTGGGACACAAACCCGCTCCTACGGGCTCACGGGTCAACCCCGCAGGACGATGCAGATGCTGAAACAAACTCACCGCATTGATCCAGCCCATCAGGATAACAGCTGAAGCAACATAAATCGAAGTCACCTCAGGCCGTCCGACCAAGTGCCCTGCCACTGGCATCTTGAAAGCCATGAATTTTTGCCAAGCTTTTGGGAGCCTCCAAGCATAAAAAGCCCCCTTCTGATCATCACCTGACCAAAGCAAAAACCTCACCATGACCAAGTTGAATTGAGCTCCAATTACTTGAACCAGCCAATGTGGCAAGATCGCCAGCCATCAGTTTTTGCAGAGCATTGGCCGGGACGAGATTCATGATGAGCCGTGTCACCCGTTTCTCACCCGGGGCGGGTTCCCGCTCTTCTCCACAGCAAACACCCCATTAAGGACAGGATGATTACCCACGTGGAATATGTCCTCCAATGCGATGGGTTCGATGATGCCTTCACGGTAAAGCACTACCACGATGCGCTCCCATTCAGAGTGAGTCACGTTCATGGATGCTGACGGCAACGGACGTGGCCAGAACTCTGGACTCAACAGGGCTTGCATAGGATCACGAACCCAACGACCGACTTCACTGTCTGCCAAAGCCAAGGCGTCTAAGCTCCCAGCCACACCATCCTCCGGTAGTCCGGGGGCCAACTCCTCCAGACGAAGCGGCAATGCTTTGAGGACGGCGTCACCTGTGTAATCAACTTGTCGAGCCCGAATAAGCTCCGAGAAATTTCCCTCGGGTCGTTCCTTGAGTGGGTCCTTGGACCACCAGGCGCAACCCCTGGCCAATCCCGCCAAAGCAATTGCTTGACTGTTGGTCGTCATGTGATCTCACCGTTCAAAACGATGCCATTCAAAAGTCGCCACACTTGACAACAAGCTGCATTGACAGACTTCTTACGCTGCTGTTTGCAAAGCTTCCGCGCCTCATCCGTGCTCCAGACGATGACCCCTGAGCCGGACCGCTTGAGCTTTGTAACTAAGTTGAGGAGAGCACCAAAGGCAGTTGTATCTTGTTCTGACACTCTGCAAAACATATGATCTCCTCAGCTAATCCATGAAATGTCACATTAGGGGCCACATGAAACAAGTCAAAAAGTCTGTCAAGACCGGAGGCACAATCACCTCTGCCTTGACACGGAGAACTCACAGAGACTCCCGTCGCGACACCAGGGTTCACCGAGGACTCAGCACTAGCCCCGGCCACCAGCACCCTCACTGGCCCTCCCGGAGATGACTGAAGATCCGATCCTTCCATTGCGTCCTGCTTTCCCCCTCTCTCCGAGGAACTGCTTTGCGGGCCTTTGCCATAGCGCCGGTGCCTGCTGACTTCTTGCTGGCGCACGATCTGGGCTCTGGTGACGCACTCTCGGAGATCTCGAACGCTACCTGGTCGGCCTCGTCGGATTGGCAATCGAAGCCGAGTGATCGGGCGAGGGGAGAGCCTTCCCCTCCCCGGAGTCCCTAACGGTTGGCCAACCCCTTCTTCAAGAGCACCTCGCTCTTAGCCATAGTGCGGGCATACTCTGCCGCCCACCAAATCCTCCGGAAGAAGCTCCAAGTATTTCCCGAAGCGGGCATCTCCATCCCTAAGCGCCATGCTCAAACTCTTAAAGCGTTGCATGAACAAATCTCCCGCAGCATCAACCTTGCCCCTCAAGATCATGTCGAGGCCCAAGGCCAAGGTGCGCATCTCCCGAAGTCGATCCTCGGATTGGTGCTTAGCTGGGTACTTAGGAAGCAACACAGACAAGAGGTAGCGACTCACCACGGGAGCAACTCATCTCGTCTTCACCATACATGGTGCCAACCTGCTCCTGCATGTTCTCCAAGCCCTTGCACAACAGCTGCCCTGGCTGGTCCCGGGAGTATTTCCGAAGCTGCCGCCGCTTAGAGACCAAACTCGATGAACTCGGGACCTCAAAAGCCTCGTCAAAGCTTTCCTAAGCGCCTGGGCCACCTCGCTCGAGCGAGCTCTCTTCAACTTTGGCTTGAAAGTGCTAGCCGCAGCCTAGGCCTTGTCAGCAAGAACCTTTGCTGGCCCCAAGCGCCTATCTCCCACCTTCTCCTTAAGTCGGCTCCGCAACCCATCGAGTCGAGCCTCCAAGGGTCCTGCTGCGTCGCGGCGGCCTGAGCTCATGTGGGAGGTGTCCTCGAGCATGCTGTCCAATACATTAGCCGTCTCAAGAGCACGGCCTGCAGATCCTCGCCCCCGCTTCTTCTTCTGCTTGGTGACCTCTGGGACACACTCGTCATCCTCCTCTTCCACGTCCATCACCTCGTCCTCCAGGGGCTGTGTACCTGAAGGTTCCTTGCGGAGGGCGCGACTCTTCGCTGCGCAACCGGTAACGCTGCCACGAGGGAGTTGCCGTCTCAGAGGGGGCTTCCGTGCAACCTCAGCAATCCCTGTGTAACTGTGTAACCCAAGGAAACCAGGATTGTATGGGCATCTTCTTTGGACAGAGGACTCCACTTCTGGACATGAATCATCTTCCGGCCCTCCTTCCTCATGCAAGTCGAGAGGGCACACCGGCACAAGTGATGGGAGTAGTTCTTAGGCAACCCACCTGGCTCACCCTCATGCTCAATGTACCAGCGGTAGAACTCATTCTCGCATCCCAAGAGGTCAGCTCAATATGGGCACCCGTGTCTTCACAAGGATAAAACTTGTTGATCTTTCCTACAGCATACCCAAGAGCCTCATTTGAATCGCCCATGACCTGAAAGATGATGTAGTCCTCCAGGGTGGCATAGGCTTCCTCGAATTCCTCCATGCTCAACCGCATGCCCTGAGTGAGCAAGGGATAGCAACGGGATCGGAGGACCCTCCGCATCGACATCACGTCGACGCATGGGCCCACAAAAGCCGAAGCCCTAATCTATCTTCCCCCTCACTGGCCAGCACCAGCAACTCTAACTCCGGGACTTGAGAAGAAATCTCACGGTGAACGGCCTTTCTTTGAAAAGTTCGCACAGCACAAGCACAAGTTTCGTTGGAGACGCGTCTCCCACTGCACATGCTACCATGTACACACCCTGCATACGTACATACAGAGTCCATAATCATACATGCACATGCTTACGCACATACGCAGACATTCACACACACGCACCCACATCCGCACATAAAAGAAGACATGTACATACATACATACATACATACGTACATACATACATACATACATACATACGTACATACGTACATAATCATACATAATTGCATGCATACATCCATCCATGCAGGCATACGTACATACGTACATACAAACATACATACAATCGCACATACACAAACATCCATGTACACACTCCAGGTAGACAGACATGCAGACAGACGTGCCTGCAAACATACGTGCAGTCATTCATCGATTCCTTCTTTTTTCCTACCTTCCTTCAGTCCTCCTTCCCTCCTTTCTCCATCCATGCACTCACGTGTCCATGTATTTCTCCGTCCATCCATCAATCCATTCATGAGTCTACCTCTGCAACTCCCAAAGCCAGGCTGATCCGACACACTGTGGCACCGATTGACTCGCGGGATCCATCACTAGCCGCCGCGGCACCTCAGTAGCGAAAACAAAGCGACTGCCAAGTGACCCTCTATGGGTGCTGTCCCAGGTCGTTGGAAAGACTTCTCGTGTAGCCGGGACACCATGGCATCGTCCGGAAGTGTCAAGGAGGCGTCTCCTGCCATCAAACTCCGGCTTGGTCGAACGAAGTCTCTGGTCTGGAATCAGATGGGGTCTTCGGCACCCTGGCGTGGCACCCCTGTGCGGGCCCTCCTCCTATCCCAGGATTCAGCGGCATTGACATAGCCTGACCGTGCTCGAGGCTTGCCGACACAAAATGCCCACAGGCCTTGACCATGGCCATGATCACTTTAGCCATGTGGCGGCTGAGCTGTTCTGTCGCAAAGGCTGCAGGGGACCTGCCATCGTTGCACAAGTTACCATAATGGCGTGTGCACAGAATGCCAATCGCTCATGCGGCTTAGCAATACCAACAACGTGCACCAAGACAACTTCTCATAAGCTGCCGATGGTATGGACCTCGTCGGCTAGGCGAGGAAGCTTGGCGTGGCCCATAGTAATCCTCGCTCGTGAAAACGTTGCAACTACCGTGTAACCAGCCCTTCTTGCAGCAGGGTCCTGCGGAATCAACTCAAGCGGAGCATCCTGAAGCAAGCAGGTTTGGAACGGAGCATGCGGTCCGCCTCCTTGTCACTTGCCGAGGCACAGTTGGAGAGCTACCGCCCGAAGCCTGGGCAGGACGTTAACGTGGCGACGGCGACCTCTTATGCACCCGTGCAAATTGAGGACTTCGCCAGGCCAACATGATGGAGCCTAAAGGAGCTTGGCGACATTGATGCCGAGTTGGCATGAAGGAAGCCTGGATGCCTGTTAGCCACGAGGAGGCACGGAAGAGCTTGCAACACGATCTGCGACAAACGTCCCTCCGTCTGCTCTGAAGCGAAATTAAAGCTTCAGGAACAGTGAGAGTGTGTACGATCACTGCACTCACCTATGAGCAGACCTGCCGTCGGCGGACAGTGCCATTGAAGACGAACTTCGAATATCGTCTGCTGCACCTCTTGCGCTTTTGGCTTAGGGCTATGGTCTTTGTTCAACCGCGTCTGCAGACATGCAAGCATCGAAACTGCCTGGAGGCAGACGCAGAGGAGAGGCCTGGGTCAGAAGCTCTGCCACTAGTGTTGCTATTACAGCAGTGTTGCTATGTTGTTGATGTTGCTAATGTATCAATTGCATGTGGCTAGAAATACTTTTGCTAGCCCTTCCCCCATATTGAAAAGCCCAGCACAAGAACTGAAGTTCGTTCTGGCTCGCAGCTGATACCCGGTTGGCCACAGCAGGTATAGAGAAAAGGGTCCATTGACCCTAAACTCCTACTCCCTACATTAAAACCAAACTCATGTTGTGGAATCCTTGTTGTCAAACGCTCTACTACCAGCAATGTGACCGACTGTGACAGCATGGTTCTTGCAACAGCTCGTAACTACTTTCGTTGCACTGCTGTCATTCTTGTTACGATTCTGACGCCCAGTCTCATTGGTGGCAACGCAAGAGTATCTGGCATCTGCCGCCATCTGCACAAAGGGCCCGGCCCCGGGTCCAGCGCTGCCTGCGATTAAGCAAGTGCGTATCTTGGTGTAGGGTACAGGGAGCAGTACGGAGCAGTAATAGCAGTAAAACTGAACAATCACCGCCACAAGCATGCAAAGTGACGACCATCACTCCTTCTCTTCGAGTTCTCGCTCTCGCCACTACCGCCGCCGTCACCATCCTTATCATCATCACCATCATTGTCCTGCTCATCCTTATCGTCGTCGGCATCATCACCTACTATGAAGCAGAGGCGCAGGCCTGCAGCTGCTGTGGGCATGGCCCCATCCGCTCCAAAGCCGCTCGGGCTGGTGGGGCTCGCAGGGCCTCTGAAGCGCAGAGCGCAGCATGGTGCAGCAGATGTTACAAAAGTGCACCTGAAAGGCCGAACACAGAGAGGCTCGAGCTCCCAGTTCCTGGTGCGGCTCTGGATCCCTGGAAGTTGGATTGCCTTGTCCTGCCTTGGGCCAGAGGAGTGCTGTGCATGCCTGGCACCGCCTCGAACCTTACGACGCCCATAGACTCACCTGCACTGCTGCTGTTCTGCCAGAGTCTACTCGAACTGAAGCATCCTCGGGCCTACGAGCCCCGATGTCGAAGACGCTGTCCTCCCAGGCCATGGGATTCGAAAGCACTTGGCTGAAGTGTCGATTCCACACGGCCTTGGCCCAGCCAGCGACTCCTTCGGCATGCCTGGCCAGGGCCAAGCGCTGCCTCCACGCCTCTGAGTCCCCTGCAAAAGTCGAACGGGCGCCTGGTGGTGTGCCCTGCCTGCTTAAAGAGTCTAGAGCGCACACGCAGGGTCGCGTGCCGATGTGGACACTCTTCCTCTCTGGCCGAAGCTGGCGCCTCTGTCCGAAGAGCTGCGGGCCTGTTTCTGATACGGGCAGTCTCTGTACGTACCAGCGGTCGGCGATGCAGGTAAGTCGCCTGTAGGATTGGCCATTCCCCTGAAAAGTCGAAAGCACGAGAAGCCGTCAAGATCCGCCAGGCAGAGTCGGTTTATGGCCGTGCCTTGCTGGAAGACCGCCGGACGGGCCCGCGCTGCTCGCAGGCCCCGCGGCGACGAGAGCACCTGGCCTGAGCTATCAAGGCGTTCGGCTTCTTTTTTGTTCTTCCGCTGGAAATCTGAGACTCTTGGCTTGCCAGTAAATCCAATGCCTTGGGTCACAAAATGCTGCCCCAGCGTGCATGAGACGTCTTGGGCCCCAAGCCTGATCCCGGCATTCCGAGGGCGTGGACCAGCGGAGGCGTGCCTTGCCTGTTTGGGCCCGTCCGGCTCTCTGCGCCTCTGCTGACAGACTCAATGGCCTCGAGTTGCCGCCAATTGTGGGGCTGCCCATCATGGGGCCGCCCATCATGGGATTGCCCATCACGGAGTTGCCCATCATGGGACTCCCTGCTGATTCACTGGCAGGCACTTACAAGCATCAGCGTCAGCACCAGCCTGAAGAGCGCATGCCCAAACCAGCCATACTGGCCGTACCCTGCCTGCGAAACACTCCATGTAGCTGCAGCCCCTTTTAGTCGCAGCCGTTTTGAGCTCTGATCCTGCTGAAGCTCTGCGTCATAGACCGCTGGGGCGATGCATCTGGCACATGGAAGGCTCGGTGAAGCCAAGCTTTTCAAAAGATGAAGCCTCCGGAGAAGGTCATCGAGCCCTGGGACGTCAGGAGCCTCGGAAAGAGGCACGCACTCCGAGACCACGAGCACACTCCGCGATGCTGCAGAACCCCCGACAGCATCGCCATCGCGCTGCTAACACGACTCTGCAGGACGAGTGGCCGAGGACCGCCGGGGCTCGCGGCAGAGCCATCTGCCAAGTCGCAAGCTGTCAGCGAAGAGTCCGTCGCTTCTTACGGAGAGAGTCCCTGCCTGTAAAGGTTTGGCCCATCTGGAAGCTTCCCTGCCTGCGAGGCTTGAGACTTGCCGAGAACACCTGGTCTAGCCTTGCTACCCTTGCGCCCAAGGCAACAGGGGCTGAGACAGAAAAGAAATGAGAAGAACATGTGATGGATGTGTCTCTGTGCCTGCTGAACCCTCCGGGAGCTGGAGTCGCTGGAGTACCATCTGCGGACAAGCGACGGAGAAACATCTTGCTAGGGTCAGATACTGCCAAGCCCCCGCAATATCGGCAAGCTCTAGAGCCACGACATCGCTGCAGCACTGGAACTGATCTTACCCGGCAACCTCCCATGCCATAGCCATAGCCATAGCCCATGCTTGCATCAGGAGTGTACCTAGGATGTCAGGATATGTCTGGGCGTTCTACGAACTCGCATGCCGCAACAATTATCAAACCGGCTCTCTGGGATATTGGACCACTCCTGCGTGTCACCGTACTGTAAGCGAACGCCACGGGGCTTCCGACCTTAGGGTTGCGAGAAGAAGTCTCCGACAGAGTCTCGGAGTCATGGAGGATTCTCCTTGGGGCCTCGGCTCTCCGGGGAGGAGGGCGCGCGCCTGGCCAAATCGAATACGGCACGGATTCGTTTTTGTCACGTCGTCCTGCCTCAGGAATTGCAAGGCATTGGCCGCCTGGAAGCTGCCTCGGCGTACAAAGAAGCCTTCCTAGAAACGCGGAAGAAGAAGCATTAAGCATCTCAGCTGCCGGCTGCCGACATGCTGATGGGCTTGATTCTGTATGTGCTCTGTCTTCTGACTTTTGAGCTTTGCATCCTAGCGGCCCAAACTGCTAAAGAAACGAAACTTGCAGCACCATCACCCGTCGAATGATGAAAGCAATTGGCAATGTCACACCGGAAGGCCCCCTCCCACTTGAGTATGGCACGCACGCACGCACGCACGCACGCACGCACTCACACACGCACACACAGAGAGGAGTGTTCTCATGCGATTTGCCAACTTGAGAGCCACGGGCTGGGACGAAAGCTCTAGCATGGGCAGGGCTGGCGACACGGAGCTCACACGAAGAGACACAGAAGCGAATTTCGGTTGCGGGCCCCTGCTGCACCGCCGAAGCTCGCCGCAGCTGTTTTTCACAAGGTTTGAGTTTGCTTCTCGCTGCTGCTGCCATTAC